AAAAGTAGTGGGTTATAATCCATGAAAATTGTAAAATTTTAAGTATGCCAAATCCTTTAAGTTGAAACAAAAGAAAATAGAAAGAAAATGTTGTTTATGGCCTATAAAATCTTGTGAATTTTGAAGTATGCGAAATCATTTGAATCAATTTTAAATAAACAAAAATGGACAGAAATCGTAGGTCATAGCTCATGAAAATAGCAAGTTTTGATCAAAGAAAACTTAATCATCATTGGGTCAAAATCAACAAAAAATGTATAAAATTATCAGTTGTAACCCATGAATGACTCAAATTTTGAACTATGCAGAATTAGTTGCTACTATGTTGAAACAGAAAAAAATAAATTAAAATCGTAGGTTATAGCCCATAAAAATTATAAATTTTGAATTACGTTGATTATTTTCCATTCGATCAAAATGAACGAAAATGGGCAGTAATTGTTGGTTATAGACCATGAAACTTGTGAATTTAGAAATAAGCCAAATAATTTCAATAAGGTCAAAACAAAGGTTAATGGACAAAAATCATGAGATAGCCTATAGAAAACTCGTGAGTTTAGAAAAAAAAACTTAATTATCATTGGGTCAAAACTAACAAAAAGGGAAAAAATCATTGATTATAAGCCGTAAAAACTACAAATTTTGAACTACGCATTATCGCTATTATAAATAGCGGTGAATAGCGCCGTAATAGCGGCGCTAATAGTGTTAGCGGTCCCTTCCCGCTGCGCTATCGTCCAATAGCGGTGATATATTACAGAATATGTGCTTTTTACTAGCAAAAATGGCTAATAACGTGCCACAACGATGAATTCGTGTTTTGACGGCTATTTAAAAGCACGTTTGAGATTGATTTTTTTAAAATTAAACCCGACTTGCAACCACTACATCCCACCGTCTCCTGTGATTTTCGACGTACTCCCGCCGCCTCCCACAGCCTACGACACCTCTCTAAGCATTTTGTCACCTCCTCTAGCCGTGAGCTCTCCTACTGCAGTCTTCTCACTGCTCAGCTCATCTTCTCGAAGACAATGACTCTGACTCCTCCAATCGTCTTCGATATTATGTGACAGTTACATTCTATTCTATATTTAGAATCTCTTTAAATCATTAAATATGCACTTTTAAATTTTTCTTTAATTTTTTTAATATTTATTATATATCTAAATTGGACCGCCATTTGACTTTGTCTTTTACCGCTATTTTGCCGCCATAGCCCCAAATAACCTTAGCGATACCTCATTGCTATGCGATGCTATCCGCTATCAATAACGTTGCGCGTTATTAGTTGCTACTGGGTGGAAACAGACACAGATGGAGAAAAATCATAGGTTATCGCGTATGAAAATTATGACTTTTGAAGTATGCGAAGATTTCCATTAGGTCGAAACAAACTAAGATGGATAATACTCATTTGTTATTGCCCATGAAAATTGCGAGTTTTGAAGAAAGAAAACTAAATTATTATTTGGTCGAAGTGGACAAAACTGGATAAATCGTTGGTTAACCCATAAAAATCACGAATTTTGAACTATACATAATTAGTTGCCGCGCATGAAAATTAGGACTTAGAAACTACGCCAAATAATTCACATTATGTTGGAACAACCACATTAGATAAAAAATCATGGGTTATAGCCCATGAAAATCACGAAGTTCGAAGTATGTCATTTAATTTCCATAAGGTCGAAATAAATGAAATAGATAAAAATCATTGGTTATAGCATATGAAAAATTCAAAATTTGAAGAACGAAAACATAATTATAATTGGGTCAAAATGAAGGAAATTTGACAAAATTAGCGGGTGAAGTCAATAAAAATTTTGAATTTAATACAAGAAAATTTATTTGTCAAACAAAAAAACTTAAATGGACAAAAGATATGGATTACAACCCTTGAAATTTGGTAATTTTGAACTACATATAATATGTTGCTATTGGGTCAAAACAGACAAAAAAGTGGTGTGGTTAAATCCATGAAAATTGAGAATTTTAAACTATGTCATAAATATTCTATTAGGTTGAATCGAACGAAAATGAACAAAAATTGTGGGTTAGCCCATGAAAATTTTGATAGTTTTGACGAAAGTTGTTGTTGGGTGGAAAATGATGAAAATTGAAAAAATAATGGGTTATTGTCCATGAAAATTGTGAATTTTAAAGTAAGAAAAATTAATTGTCATTAGGTCGAAATAGCCGAAAATGGGCAATAACTGTGAGTTACAGTCCATGGGCAATAACTGTGAGTTATAGTCCATGAAAATGACAAAATTTGAAGTATGCCAAATATTTTCCAATAGGTTGAAACGAATGAAAATGGACAAAATCATGGATTATAGTGCATGAAAATTGCAAATTTTGAAGTACATTGATAATTTTCATTAGTTGAAACAAATAAAAAGGGTCAAAAATCATGGTTTATAGCCCATGAAAATCACAATTTCTGAGGAAAAAAACTTAATTATCATTGGGTTAAAACAGAGAAAAGTGGACAAAAATCGTGTGGTATATAACCCATTAAAATTGCAAATTTCGACGCAACACCAAAAAATTTCCATCAGATTGAAACGAATGAAAATAGACAGAAATCGTGGATTGTTGCCCATGAAAATTGTGGGTTTTGAAGTACACCGAAATAATTTCCATTAAGTCGAAATAAACAAGAATGGACAGAAATCATGAGTTAAAACTTTTGAATTTTGAAGTATGCCAAATAATTTCTATTATGTTAAAACAAACAAAAAATGGACACAGAAATCATTGTTTTTCTTTTGTTTCAAAATTCAGGATATTGCCTCTGATGGGTGTTTTAGTTTGGGAATGGTAGCTCGATTTGAGCCCGTTTTAAGAGAAAAGGGTGCCTGGATGTATCCTCGTCTCTTTTGGGAAACTGGTGTTCTTGGTCAAGTGCTATACCTTGAAGCTCATGCAGTTGGCATTTCAGCTACTGGAATTGGTTGTTATTTCGACGATGACGGTATGTTTCATTTCATATAAGTTAATAATTTTGGTTCAATAGTTGATATTATGTGCTTTTAACTGGATTTTACTTCAAATGCGTGTTCCTTCTTGATGCAGTGCACGAGGTGCTTGGATTGAAAGGTTCAGAGTTTCAGAGTTTGTATCATTTTACTATTGGGAGTCCAGTGCTTGACAACAGAATTATGAGTCTCCCTGCATATCCAGGTCCAAGGATTGATGCATAATTCTTGTATTTTCAGCTATGAAGAACAAATAAAATAATACCACACTTCCAAGTTCTAGCCACTGCATTTACCCTCCCCTCCTCTGTTTACCGTGTACATGTTTACATGTTTCTCTTCTGTAAATTCAGATATATGGAAAAAGAAATAGCTCCAACATTCCTTTGCTCTGCATTGGAGAGTAATAATTAGTTTACTTGTCTGTAAATGATAAAGCGTTTGTTTATTTGGGATTTTTGGAACATCTTGAGCATTGCATTCTGTTTATTTACACGTACTACTTATGCGCCTTGTACTTTTGTTGCGGCGAACTAATATGTTGGATTAATATTGGTCTCCTTCATCTTGGTTAATTGTTTGTGTTTCTCTGAGCAGTAAAATGTATGTTAGGATGGTTCGAATATTGGTGGGAGGAGGAGAAGTACATGTAGGCGTCAAAAAATGCTAATAGATATCCCAAACATAGAGAAGATAACTCAAAAAAATCACAAGAAAGGATTTCATATTGTTTTTGGAAAAATCAAAACAAGTATGAACTGTCTCGCCAGCGAGACAGGCTTTGCTGTCTCGCCAGCGAGACAGTATTTGCTGTCTCGCCGACGTTACAGCGAGAAACTGCCATTTTCCGAGACAGCATTTACTGTCTCGCTGAGCGAGACAGCAAATTTACTGTCTCGCGGGTCGAGACAGCAAACGCTGTCTCGCCCAGCGAGACAGTAAACACTGTCTCGCCGTACTGACTTCTTCGATTGTTAAGTTTTTGCAGTTACTGACCCTTGAGGCTATAAATACCCCCCTAGGGTCACTTCTGACGAGGATCGAGCATTTGTTAGAGCATTCCAGAGCAGAGAGAGCAGAGATTTGAGTTCTTTTCTTGCAACGCCTTGAAATTAAGCTTTGACTTGATTTTAAGAAGAACGACTATCTTACTTCGATAAGATATCGTTTCAATTTCTACTTCGATAACGAAGTTAGAATCATAAGCCCCCTCTTCACGATCTGTGAATCGGCGGTCCACGAACCAAAGCGTTCCCGGCACAGGCAAAGTCCCACGAAAACAAAGATCGATAGACGATTTTTGTGTTTGTTTCTCAAGAGTTGTAATTTTCGCTTTGTTGTGTAGAAAAAGTCTTATAAAAAGATTATTCTTTCGAATTTGTTGTAATCGAACAAAGTTATAATGAATTCCTCAACAGAACCGACTTTTGACTCAAACAAGCTGGCGACCACAGTGGGAGCCAGCGGTCTCGCTGTCGAGACCGCGGTGTCGCAACCGATCAAGATAATCGTCAATGAAGAGATCGAATACGAATTCGATCAGGCGAAGTTTGAGGAGTACTTGTCATCCTCCTCCGCGAAATCTTCCTCGTCTCGCAAATATAGGAAGATTTCGAAAACTTTCAAGTCTGCAATTCCAACGGAGGCCGCAGACAAAGATTCTTGCTCGATCGTTGTTAAGGAATCTCCTTGCAACGTCCCTGCTCAAAACGACTCTACACCAGTTACGGAGTCGTTGATCAATAGCTCACCGGTGCTGACGAAAAGAGCTCGTCAGAGACAGCGTCAGCGCCGTGCTCGACAATTGGCTAAGGCCATGCAACAAACCGACGGGGTCCATTACTATGCGGACCTAAAGTCGAGAAAACAGAAAATGACCCAGTTGCCTCAATGGCAAGATAATCATATTTCTGCAAAGCTTACGACGGAGGAATGGACTCTCGTCAAAAGGGCCCGTTCAACCCTTAAAGAACGGATACAAAGGCGTAAGGCGAAGGCTGCCCAAACTCGCGCTCTTCGTCAACAAGCGCAAGGAACCAAGAAAGAAACGGTGTCTGAAAAGTCACCGAAGAATCGTAAAGTCTGGATGCCAAAGACACCACAAGCATATGTTCCGGGCCCGTCTACTGCAACACCAGTAGAACCCTGGGTTAGCCCAGATTTGTCCAAGTTCAAGATAACAATAGCAGATCGCCTTGGTCCTTCAGTTGATGATCGAGGCAAAGCCCCAGTCAAGGAACAACCATGTCCGGCAAATAAACCATTAATGGTTTCATATGCAGGGGGTCGTAAACACCCTCCTGTCAGAACTGCACAAGTCCAAAACGAGAGAATACCAGTTCACTCTCGTTTAGGACCTCTGAAAACTCCACACCCGCAAGGGGGTGGATTTAAACATTCAACTTTGGATCGCTCAGAGGCGACGACCAGTCGTCCTGTGCATGTTAACAAAGTTCAAAAGCGAAAGATAGGTTGCTCGAATCACAATAATGATGAGCTGTACTATCAGAAAGATAACTCAAGAAAGAGAGTTGTCAGAGAAAATGAGTCTCATTGCGCTTGCGAGAGACTCATTAAAGCAGTGTTGACAGAATGCGGATGCTCTAAGAATAATTCAACAAGAGTCTCCGTATTTCAAAGATTGTCCAATGAAGCGTCAAGACCCAAAACAAGACGTTTCAACAAAACGAAATCTGTAATCCGACAAGATGAGCTTCCTGAGGTCACTATCAACATGACCAATAAAGGAAAGCAAAAGTCAGTTAACTACGACCCTGATTTCTCTCCGGGAGGGAGAGTTGAGCGGGGTCTTTCTCAAAGGCAAGACGTTTCAACAAAAAGAAACCTGTAATCCGACAAGATGAGTTCCCTGAGGTCACTATCAACATGACCAATAAAGGAAAGCAAAAATCAGTCAATCCTGACCCTGATTTCTCTCCAGGAGGGAGAGTTGAGCGGGGTCTTTCTCAAAGGATGGCACAGCTACAAAGAAGAGCCAACTTACGTCGAGATTACAGGAGAATGCACGAGGGTTTATATTCAGATGAAGAATTGTCGGACACTTGTTCTGCTATTGCATCGGACGATACCGCGTCCAGTGTTGGACGAGTCAGAGAATCGTTCGCAATCACGCCGGATCAACTGGCTCACATCTTGCAGGAGGCGTTGGCTAAACAACGCGAAGAAATCAGAGCTGAGTTCAAAACCGATATGGAGTTGACTATGCAGCAGATGCGAGACTTGCAGGTTCAGCAACACCAACCGGAGTCGAGCCAGAAGGCGGAATCCAGCCGGCGTAATGAAGAGGATGAGACTATCTTTGATGATCCTCCTCCAGATAAAGACAACTCCGGAAGCGGTCCGACCAAGTCATCCACTCAACCTCCACAGATCTACTTGAAGAAAAGTGAGGAAGAGGATAAGAAGATGCATGATCTCGAGAGCAAGGTCAACGCTCTGATGACGGCTCAGGAAGTGAAGAAAACGGGCATTCCATACCCGTACCCGAGGCAGTGAGACCTGATTCCTTATCCCCAGAAATTTAATTTGATTAACTTTACTCCTTTTGATGGCAAGGGTTCACCAACTCAGCACTTGATCTATTTCAAGTCGCATCTCGGCGCAATATCCGGGAACGAAGCCCTGATGGTCCGGTCATTCGTAGGAACCCTTCGCGGGCCTGCCTTCGATTGGTACCGACGCCTTAAGCCCGGGAGTATCACTAGCTGGGCAGACATGGAAGAGTTATTCCTCACCAATTTCTTCGACGACGACACGGAAGTCTCGATCGGCACGTTGTTGGATGAGAAGCAGAAGGATGGGGAATCGGTTGATGTCTTTGTCAAACGATTCCGGGACAAAGCGGTGAACTGCAGAGATCCACTCACTGAGGAATTTATTCTGCAAACATGTCATAATAATCTGTCCTTGGATGTATTAGAAGTGGTGGGGGTTGTTCCCTCTAAAACTTGGAAAGAGATGAAAGTAAGAGGTGAACAAGCTGAACGCTTCCTCAAGAGAAAGAATTTGGAGCGAGGTTTGCCACCAGCTAATAATCAGAATCAAAATCAAAAGCAGAACTTTAACCCTCGAGGCAGAGGAAGAGGGTCCACGCCACCCACCGCAACAACAACCGCAACAGTCATCCTTCCAACTAGCGCCAAATCAGAATCAGCAGCCCCCGAGGCAGCCCAAGACTTCTGAGCCTAGATTCCCGAAGGAATACTCATTCAAAGATGATGAAGTTCCAGTCATCTTCAAATATTTATTAGAGAATAACAAGATCAAGCTTCCACCGGTCACAAACCAAGAAGAAGCCACGAAGATTAATGACCCGAAATACTGTGCATATCACAGAAGGGTCCACCATCCAACTAAGACGTGTTATGTCTTGAAAGACAAAATACAAACCTTAATTGATGTTGGTATTGTGACGCCGAAGCCAAAAGAGAAGAAGGTAGGCGCAAACGCGGTCTCTATTAGCTTCGGATCGGTTCCTTTGTCCTGGTTTCAAGCCGAGCCAGTATCAAAGGTCAAGGTGCAAACCATCAACGATGACCCTCATGGACAGCGCCAGAAGGGGCTGGTATCTCACACAACCCCCAACGGCGAAATCCTTTGGGTTCATCCGGATTTGTTTGAAGATGAACAGTGGACGACATCCACATCGAAGAAGAAGTCAAAAGGCAAGGGAAAAGAGAAGTCCTGTTATGGAGCCTCAGCGATTCCTGAGAAGAATGATGAGGAGATCCCAGCTTTACCACTTTCTGAAGAAGAACAAGAAGTTTTCGCTACAAGGAGTGGGAATGAGTATCATTATAAGTATCCTGAGACCTCTAACCCAAATGCTACGACTCTGAAGGAGCTGGGGATAGTTGTAACTCCTCCAGTAGCTGCTGAAAAGCCGCAACAACCGGCTAAGCAAAAAGAGAAAGAACCCCAACATAAAGAGATTCAAGTTCCGAAGCAGTCTCGTTTCAGCCGACCGATTGGACGAGATAAACCGGAAAGCTCGAACGCACCATATCGTTTCGACGTTATGGCTCAGTTGGCCAATATCCCAGCAAGGATTACGCTATACGTGCTGCGCCTCTCGAAGGAAACCAGGGAAGCTTTACAAGAAGCTTTGGCTGATTCTGAAGTATTCTTAACTCAGGTCAAGCCAGCTCCTGAAGAGCCAGAGTCGTCAGTGCATCATTGCAATCTGGCAGCCACAAAATTCCCTTGCATCGCTTTCACAAAAGAAGATATGCAAGTTAGGAATTCGAAGCATGATAGGCCTCTATATTTCACCGGATATATTGGCTCTAGCGTTGTCAACCGGATCCAAGTCGATCCGGGTTCCGCTGTTAGCATCATGCCACTGCGGTTGATGTACCACCTCGGAATCCCTGCCAGCAAGTTAGCCTCTATAGGGACGGTTATCTACGGGTTCAATACTAGCGGGTCAAGACCGTTAGGAAAAATCCGGGTGAAGTGTCAACTCGAAGATTTAAAGTCTGAAGTCACCTGCTATGTGATCGATGCGGAGACTTCTTATAATTTACTGTAGGGTCGTCCATGGATCCACGGTAATCTTATAGTTCCCTCCACCCTCCATCAGTGTTTGAAGTATGTCGACACTAATGAGGAGGTCAAGACGGTGGTCGCGGATAAGCAACCATTCAAGGGGTTAGAAAATTACTTTACTGATTCCCTTCTTTATGGTGCTGAGTCCGATACTGAACCATCGGCCCATGGCACGGACAGCGGAGAAGAAGCTGATACCGAAGCCGGGCTCGATTATAGTGAAGGTCTTGTATTAAATGACATTGAACCTCTTGTAATCGATCTTGACGGTGATGAATCGTCGGACGAAAATTGTAACTGGCAACTTGCCGATGAAATAATAAAAAATAATTTAGAGTATTCGCCTTGTCTTGATAATATAATGCAGGAATTGTATGACGATCCCAGTCTACACATGCCGCTTCGCTCGTCTTGCACGACGATAAAATATTTTCAAAATCCAGTAGGAACAACTGTGATTCTACCCGCAAAGACAGGGGGTGAAAAAGAAATAATCTTTGGAAAAGGGAATCCATCCCCAACTCCTGATCCTTTCTTGGACACCGATTCAGATGAAGAAAAACCCGGGCGACATTTCTCTCGGTACAGTTCACAAGCGAATGATTATATGACGAACCGGGGTTATGACCTCTCACTCGGTGAAGGTCTTTATTTTGGTCAAGGTATTAGGGTTCCACCCCGTCCTGCCTATGTACCAAAAGGAAAACCAGATAATTATTACAGTCGCAATAGGGGTCTGGGTTATGCTTCATCATCCGATGACGATTATGGCCAACAGATCATTAACCAATTAATAGATAGGAGCGGACATTCATCCGATACTTCAAATTGGGATTCTGATGTGAGCATTGGAGAAAAGTTCAAAAGTCTCATGTCAAACATGGCAACGGTTGACCCTTCTACAACAGAAGAAGACGATCAGTTACCTACTTGGGAAGATCCTTGGATACATTACATGAATATCCAATACGGTGATCGATTCGAGCAAAGATAACCTCCTACCGAAGATAAGGTAGTCCAAGTTAATATGGGTGACGAAACTAATCCGAAACCTATATTTATTAGTGGTGATCTTCCACCGGATGAGAAAGAGGAACTAATCGCCCTTATTCGAGAATATATCGACGTATTCGCTTGGAGTTACGAAGATATGCCAGGACTCGACCCAGACATAGCAATGCATAGCCTTAATATAAAATCGGATGCTAAACCTGTCAAACAACAACAAAGACGGTTTCGTCCGCAAATTATGGAGCCGATAGAAGCTGAAGTCAAGAAGCTAATTGATTCGGGATTTGTCAGAGAAGAACAACATCCTGAATGGTTGGCCAATATCGTTCCAGTCCTCAAAAAGAACGGAAAAATCAGAATCTGCATTGACTTCAGAGATCTGAATACGGCCTGTCCCAAAGACGACTTTCCTCTACCGATTACGGACGTCATCATTGACAACACATGCGGGTTTGAAAGAATGTCATTCATGGACGGATTTTCTGGGTATAATCAAATCAAGATGCATCCGGATGATGAAAAGCACACAGCTTTCAGAACACCTCTTGGCGTCTTTTGTTATACCGTTATGACTGTTATGCCATTCGGCTTGAAGAATGCCGGCGCTACGTACCAACGAGCGATGACGAAAATCTTTCAAGAGCACCTCCGGAAAACTGTCGAATGCTACGTTGATGACCTGGTCGTTAAGAGTCGTGATAAAAACGACCACATTAACGATCTGAAGCCAATGTTCGAGCTTATGAGAACTCATCAGCTGAAAATGAACCCGACTAAATCCTTCCTTGGAATGTCGAGCGGTAAATTTCTTGGATTCGTCGTCACCACAAAAGGTATTCATATTGATCCTGATAAGGTGAAGGCAATACACGAGCTACAACCCCCGAGAAATCTTAAAGAACTCAGAGGGTTGCAAGGTCGATTGGCATACATCCGTCGATTTATATCAAATCTGTCTGGAAAATGTCAACCGTTCTCTAAACTCGCGAAGAAAGGCGTGTCGTTCGTTTGGAATGAAGCATGCCAAAAGGCATTCGAATATATTAAGAAATATCTGGCGAATCCACCTATTCTCGTTGCACCGAAATCGGGCAAACCGTTTTTGATTTATGTCAAAGCGACGAGCCATTCGTTAAGTGCATTACTTGCACAAGACGACGATAACGGTCACGAACAAGCTGTGTACTATCTGAGTCGTACATTAGTAGGAGCTGAGTCTCATTATCCGATGATTGAGAAGGAATGCCTCGCTTTGGTATTCGTGATTCAGAAAATGCGACATTATTTAGTCGGACAGACGATTTATGTCATTTCCAACATAAATCCCGTCCGAGTGTTCATGACCCAACCGGCTTCCATGAATTGGCGTTTGGCCAGATGGGCTTTACTCTTATCGCAATATGACTTGTACTTCAAACAGCAGAAATCTGTTAAAGGACGAGCTATTTGCGATCTTCTGGCGGAGAACCCTACGAAGGATGTAGTCGAATTGTACGACGATCTGCCGATGAAACTCACGAAGTTAATACCACCTCACATCAACAAGTGTGGCAATTGTACTTCGATGGGGCTTCCCGATCAACCAATGTGGCAAGTGCACCCGGATGTTCTAAAATCTCCTCAGGAGTGGGGGTCGTTTTAGTTTCCCCGGAAAAGCACGTCTTGCCTAGAGCATATTCACTGACCGAACCATGCTCTAATAATGTGGCCGAATACAATGCATTAATAATCGGACTTAATTTCGCCAAAGAGCTGGGGGTCGAATACCTTGAGGCTTTTGGAGATTCTCAACTGGTACCTGCTTCTTTTAATTTGACTAAAAGGAGAGAAAGCGCACAGGTCATTAGAGGAGGCACACGGTCCGACTCATTCATTTCTCGGATTTCTCTTCCGAGAGGAGAAAGATCAGTACCTGTGTCCGCAGCTGATGGATCAACGTCAGGAGTGGGTGGAACGTCAGCTGGTCCTTCTTTCAGAACATCTTGCATTTGCTGGACGAAGCTGGTCTCCTCAGTCTCCATACCTCCAGGAGAAGCAGCTCCAACTCGATATTCTCCCTCTTCTTGACTCTCTACAGAAATTGGAAATGAAATGAGTTCGAGCATTAAAAAAAAATGTAAGAGAGATAAAAATAAATAATTACCTAGTTCATCAGAAGAAACATTACGACCAGAGATATCTTCTACGGCAGAAAGATGAACGCGCGGTTTAGAAGCAGCTTTCTTTTGTTTCTTCGGTGGATGTGCTTCAGGACCTTCGTGACGACGTTTGGTGCGTAATTCAGTTCGAGGAGGAATTTGGGTTTGAGCTTGAGTGGGAGGTCGTGATCTTTGTCGACGAGCAAGAGGCACTTCATCCTCTTCATCCTCTTCGTCCCCACTGAGAATGTCTACCGTCATCCGATTAGGATAGGTCATGACGACCCTCTCTCCCCGTTTTCTCGAAGTAGCTTGTGATTGAGTAGGAGCAACAGATGGGCACACAAGTCCTCTTTCAAAGAAAGAATCAGAAAGACCCGCTCTTTCATCAGAACTTGAGCTAGTCTCACCCGCCTCCTCGGAAGTCTCCGTCTCCTCAGAGTCAAATTCTTCTTCACTACCGACTGAGCGAGCCGGTTCCTTTCCTTTCCTTGATGATTCAGCAGCCTCTTTTCCTCGAGGCGACATCACAGCTTCGCGAGGCAGTTCTGCTGCTTGCCGTGGAGCTATTTCTTCCTCTGAGTCTGATATCCTCCTACGTCGAGTGACAATATTGGTGGCTATCAGCCATTTACAAAAGAGGAAAGTCATCCGTAGAGGCGGCGTCTCTAAGGGGAGATCAAATTCAACATTGGTGCAGCCGGCAATGCTCCAAAACCAAGCTCTCGCCCCGTCGATAAGTCCACCTCGAAAGCTGAGGTGACGATTCGGGTTGCCGATGTATATCTGATCATACCCGAACTGACGGGCGAATCGACATGGAAGATAGGGTTCGATGTGGCAAACATCCCTTATCCTGAACAACAGATATCCAGGTCGAATATTCATCAACCATCTGAAGCACCCGACATCCAAGATGGTACGATTCTGCCTTGGGTCTTCAGCATCCACTAAGGTAGTGTTGTAAGTACCGGAGAACTGAGGGAAGCAAGGAAAAAATTCCCAACATTTGTGAATTTTAAACTGCCTCGTTATGTCCGGCTCTCGATGTTTGCTCCATTTGCAATTCTCGAGATTTTGCAACAGAGGGACACTGAGATCTACCGTATCAGGAGCCTCCATTAAATCTGGTCGATGAAGTACCAACCAGGCCATTAAGTAAGTATAGGGCAGCTCCAGCTTCGGAACGGACAGGCTGGCGGAAGGTTTCTTTTTCTCCTGGGTAAATGCGGAGATTAGTTGCCGCAATCCACTATGAATATCGGCCACCATAGCGGGAAGCAAAGATAATTTGCGACCTGTAGCCAGCTGGACGGCCGGATACAACACTTCCATTGGCATCGCATCTGCGGATTGATGGGGAACTACACATCTCTTTAACCATAAGGCTAGAAAACCCGCCAGCAGAGCAGTAGGGCTAATCGGAACACCAGCTTGCCACAGATAAGAGCGGAACTTAGTGCCGTGCAAAAATCCATCTTCTGAGCGCGAAGTATAAGAATGCGCGTTGGTTTTCTCTAACAAACGGTTAATTTCATCCGTACTCAAGGGAGACAATCCGCACACATCTGCCGAACGGACATCCAGGTTCTTGAAGAGATAATCAGCGAATTGTTTTAAACTGACTTGAGGAGACTTCTTTCTGGCTTTGGGCTCCATCTCGGCCATGGCTATATGATAATGACAGGTCAATTCCCATAGAGTGTCATAGGTCGCAGTCGAGCTATCTTTCATCTTAATCAGCTGATTGGTGGTCGGAAAGAACTCTTGATATGGGACATCGCCCATAGGCAAAGCAGACACTTGCATCATTTCATGCAGTGGTAGTCCAAGTTCCCCGTTCTTGGTAAAGAATGTATTGGTGTCCGGGTTGTAGATCTCGAACAAACAAAGGAAATGACTTACACTGCTCTGCAAGCCATGCATGGTGGCACGAATCGGGACATCCAACCCTAATCCTGCTAATTCTCGCCCAAAACGTTTCAACACATATTGGGTCATCCTGGTCCACCACCACTTGTTCCCAGAATAATGGACCCATCCATAACACCTGAAAGTCTCTCTGGGCAATCTTTTTCCTGCTGCCGCTAACCGGTTCTTCACAGTGTTGGCTTGCACTATCTTTTCGTTCTGAGGAATATTGTCTTGTCCTAAGACACCCGGATGAAGTCCTCTCACATGAGCTCTTTCACTGGAACCTGGAGTTGCTTCCTTTCCAATGAAACCACAATGAATGTGCTCGTGGTTTTCGGTTAATTTCCAGAACATCTCTCGTCCAACTGATAGGTTCCTGAACATTAACAGTGAATGATCCCGAGGGATAAAAGGCAGATATAAGAATGATGATCCACTCTGGTGCAACCATTGCGCAGGCTGGCAGAAAGCAATCTTCGGATCTTTTACCGAGTCACCAAATAAGAAATCTGGCTTCCTTATGCATTGATTCGAGTCTTGCTCCGAGATCAAGGGCGCATCTGTGATTAATCGTCGTAGAACACGACAACTACCTCGCTGGATTAATTCACTATCACTTCCGTTATAATCAGATTTAAACTGGGGAGAGAATTCAATTAACGGGATCCCCTCGTAATAAGAGTGGGTCACGCTACTCCGGCCAGTAATCACATCAGCAGTAAATATGGTGGAAGGAAATCGGACTGATAAAAGAGGCATACACATAAATGGTGTAAGTGTCATCCTAAGATTTTAGAGAAAAAACGGTATATCTCATTCTATAAGATATAGTCGTTATCTCATAACAGGTGTGACGATTTTCTATCCACCATATGTATAAAGGAGGTATGCGGGCATTATAACGGCATACCAAAACCTTTCAATACATATGGGATGATGTAAAATTGCCCCTGTGTATTATGAAGTGTGTTTTGTCAAAGCAAAACAAACACTTTTAAGCGTCGATCCCCTCAAAGGAGGATACCGGCTCTTCTCGAAGGTACCTCAAAGGATACAAACGAGGATCTGCAAGCAAATACAGGTGCATATATATATGGAATTTACGAAATACAGTATTTAAACTCGTAAAAGGATGAAAAAGGTATACCTCCACGTGAGGGTGCAGCAGGGGCAGCCTCCTCGGGGCTCTGAACAGTCGGTCGGCTTCGGGTTCCTCGAGCTCTACGCGGCGACATGACGAGTAAACGATCTACAAGGAAACCCAACGAAGAAAGTCAGGATTTTTAGCAATAAATCAACCCAAATATCATCAAATATGGCCGAAATAATGCATGCATAGTCACAGTTGAAAAAAATCAAGATTTTGGAGAAAAGGGGGGTGAACAGACCTTTAAAATCCGAGTGCAATCTTCCCAAACAAGAGCACCACCCAAGTCGGCAACAAAGAGGAGAAGAAATAGAGGAAAACTGATCGAAAATCGCCCAAGAAATCGCCTCAAAATCGCCTAGAAATCGACGTGAAAAAGCCCTAAAAAACCCTAAGTCCGCGGTTTTATACCACCTTGAGCGAGACAGTAAATACTGTCTCGCCGAGCGAGACAGCAAATGCTGTCTCGCCGAGCGAGACAGCAAATGCTGTCTCGCCGAGCGAGACAGCAAATACTGTCTCACCAACTCTGTCTCGCCGAGCGAGACAGAAAACACTGTCTCGCCCAGCGAGACAGAAAACTCTGTCTCGCCGAGCGAGACAGAAAACACTGTCTCGCCCAGCGAGACAGAAAACTCTGTCTCGCCGAGCGAGACAGTAAACTTTTCTGTTTTGCACTATGGAACAGTGGACTACTCCAATGGGTACACGAGTCTAAACTGTATTCCCACCCTCAACAGGAAGTTTCTGGAGAATATTAATTGGAATATTCTTAAGGATAACCTGATGAACTCTCAATGGCTATATCAATTCAGTGATAAAGCTGAACCCACAAGAACAAGTACCAACTTCAATTCAAGATCTCGACAACGGTCAAGCGATAAACGCGACACCGGGAGAACATTAGCTATTCTACGAAAGAACTGAATAGACTAAAAACAGAAGAGATCAAGCATTGAAGCCAGTTACAAGTCCTTCCACACGATCTACTCAGCCAAGCATTGAAGGGATCGTAAGTAAAATCTATCTTATCCAAAGTATCCCATGCTCCTCTATAAAAGAATGAGTCTGGAATACTTTGGAGGGGGTATCTGTAGGCGTCAAAAAATGCTAATAGATATACCAAACAAGAGAAGATACAATCAAAGCTAATAGATATCCCAAACATAGAGAAGATCACTCAATAAATCACAAGAATTGATCTCATACTGTTTTTGGAAAATCAAAACAGGTATGAACTGTCTCGCCAGCGAGACAAGCTTTGCTGTCTCACCAGCGAGACAGTGTTTGCTGTCTCGCCAGCGAGACAGATTTTACTGTCTCGCCAGCGAGACAGCTTTGAAATGATCAAAACCACCTTTGTAACTGCCCTACACGTGTCCATTAACTACCAAGGGACGTGGGAAACATCGTGGGCGAAAATCACGTGAATAACTGCTAAAATAACAGAGTTTGAAACGTGGGAGAGCGGTTACAGCGAGAAACTGTCATTTTCCGAGACAGTATTTACCTGTCTCGCCCAGCGAGACAGTAAACACTGTCTCGCCGTGCTAACTTCTTCGATTGCTGAGTTTTTACAGTTACAGACCCCAGAGGCTATAAATACCCCCCTAGGGTCACTTCTGACGGGGATCGAGCATTTTTAGGAGCATTCCAGAGCAGAGAGAGAGAGCAGATTTGAGTTTTCTTGCAAATCCTTGAAATTAAGCTTTGACTTGATTTTAAGAACGACTATCTTACTTCGATAAGATATCGTTTTAATTTCTCACTTCGATAAACGAAGTCAGAATCAGTCAACCCCTTCTTCACGATCTGTGATTCGGCGGTCCACGAGCCAAAGCGTTCCCGGCACAGGCAAAGTCCCACGAAAACAAAGATCGATAGACGATTTTTGTGTTTGTTTCTCAAAAGTTGTAATTTTCGCTTTGTTGTGTAGAAAAAGTCTTATAAAAAGATTATTCTTTCGGATTTGTTGTAATCGAACAAAGTTATAATGAATTCCTCAACAGAACCGACTTTTGACTCAAACAATACATGCATAGAAATGAATATTATTTTGTTTCACCTAGGAAATTTGATGTTGAAATTATGTTTATTACAAGCAAGGGAAACTAAAATGGGGCAAAGAAGCATCATGCAGCCACTCCATCTGAACAATCTCCAAAACTGTTTTGCATAGTGCCTCAGCGAGCTCGCTCACTTGCCTTTTCATAACTGAAATCGCTGATCTAGCAGCCCTTGCAGTCTCATGAGCATTACAATATTCTTCAAGCATAAGCTGAACTCTCTTCGTTGCTCCCTGTCTCCAATTTTACCTGGTCAGAAACAAAGTCCTTGCTTCCTTAGAGCATTTGCTGCAATTATCATTCTCTCTCTCAAGTTGTAATATGAGAGCAGGAGCAACTCTTCTTTCCAAGTAGTGGCCAACACATTCCTGTAGATGAATCTCAAGCTTCTCCTTAAGAACACTGTATAGCTGCTCAAAACCAAAATTTTGATCAATTGAAGATGATATATCATGTATACACAAGTCCAAAATGGAGTCCAGAATACCAATTTTCCAGATAAAAAAAAGACTGGTTTTTCAATAATTTCGCAACCCCCCACATGGATTCGGATGGTGAAGAACCAGATGATATGAGATCTGACAAGCTAAATGCAGACTCATTTAAGTAGGAAGAAAGGTTAGCATCTGCAAATAGCATCTGATCAACCGATTCCATGTCAGAGAAAGGCTTTACCAAGGAAGAAAGAAGGGTCCCACTGCTCTTAATGTGTATATCCCCCTCCTTTCTATCGTCTATTAAAGATGAAAAATATTGTTCAAAAGAAATCAGCGAACTTCTATTATTAGATTCGATGTTTGCTAGTGAAGTACTCCGCACATCTTTCTGGTTCCAGGACTGATGAAGTTGGTCCAATTGTGCTCTACAAACTTCTTCTTGGGATGCTAGTTCTTCAGCTTCTTCCCAAGATGAATTACCCCTGCCATTTGCAGAAGCTGCTTCAAGGGCTAGTTGCTGCTCTATGATGAATGCAACCTTCGTGAAATACGTTTTCTCAAGCTCGACCAAGGATGCTTTCTCTAGCTCCACCTCAACAAGCTTTTCAATTGACGTATCAACAGAACCGCGCATCTGTGAAAGGATTCCAAAGGCATCCATCGCTTCAGAGTTGTAAGCGATAACTGATCTAATTATCTCCGGGAGAACAATGCCAGTCATCTGTTCAACCAAGTGCTTACAGGAATGCAGACTAGCCTGAAATATGGAAATCCAGATTCCTTCATACCTCTGCTTTATATTGTCTGAAGAAATGCTGATGCTAGCTAAGTCTGTGCCAATCAATTCCTGAACTTAATTCAAAAATCCCGCAACTAGGACACATTTCTCAATTTGCTCTCCGAACACGTGAAATGAATTACTACAATCACGTTGCAGACCCATATCTCCTGCCGCCCAACCAACTTTCTCAGTGGAAATGTTGGACATGTTGAGCACTATATCTTTAACCTCCTTGGCACAGCTCATTTGCAGCCATATGTGGTACAAGTAAAACCATCATTTTTTTTCATATCCAACTCCCTTAGTCTATCTGTTGTCGCCTTGTATTTTTGTTGGCCTGAAAAACCAATGGACAAATCATCTTTGCTTGAATACTCGGTAGATTGCATATACTCTGTGAAAGCGGAGAGCAAGCGCTCTTTAGATTTTGACTCAATATCTGATCCAACAGACCTCATCATTTCTGAGCACTCATCTTCAATTTTCTGGATATGGTCAGTGTATCTCTCCATTCTGTGAAAAAGGTCGTAATGCCTTTGTTGAATTGAAATCCAGATCATGACCTTGGGCCTTTG